GTCGTTTACTTTGACCGATGTCTAGTACGAACCACTTGGAGGAGTCCTCGGATTGCCACCTTCATGTCAGACATGCAAATGGTTTTCCCAACAACGCGTGCGATCCGATCGTTAAGGTATGTTTTGGCATGCAGGTGAGGGTGTGGAAGCGGCTCCGAGGTTTAGCACACGACCAAGTGCGCCGCATCCACAATTAGTTCCTGCCTTATGTTCGGCTCGGTCGTAACGGCGACCGAGGGACATCCGATGCAGTTCTGGCGCATTGGTCCTTACGGGGAAGGCCAGGGTTCCGCCAGCAATGATAGAACTCCTTTGCCTATGGCCTTCCCGAAGAGAATTTCTGCACTCGTTTGCAGAGTGTCTGGTCGCGAGATGTGCCCGAGGGTGAACCAGACCTGGTTGGCTTGCTTCTGGGTAATGGCTTGGAGAGTGCGGCCTGAGCAACAAATATTTGGCCGTCTATTTGCTTCTGTTGGATGATGGCGGTGACTGCGAACCCTTCATCTCCCCCTCTTTCCGATGGTTTGCTGTGTTCCACGTTGAACCGGGCGGCGTTTCATCTCGCTTCATTTGTGCATCTATATTTCCTTGATTCTCCAACGAATTTGCTTGGTGTCACGCCCTGATGGCGAAGACGAGCTGGGCTGTCGTGATTAGCCAAATATGAGAACAACCACGCAGGTCACTGCTTCTGCATACAACAACCGGTCCGGTAGAATTGTTGCATGTTCCTCCGTTCCAAATGCTGCTCGATAACCATGCACTGTAGTACTTAACGCCGCCTGGCCTGGTGCGTGTGACAGACAGACCAGCCCTCGTATTGTACGCACACCGACGCATTTCACACGGGTCGTGGGCTCTACTAGATCTCGAACGAACCAGCTGAATATGACCGGGGGTACGCGTTACCTACCGAGAAAGCGCTCTAAAAGCACACAGGGGTGCGAGCGCAAGTTTGCAGCCATTTCGCTATTACTTTTTTCGCCGCCATGATATTAACTTGAGGTCCCGGCGTGGAAAAAGTGTTTCCACCCCCTCCTCTCAGCCTCTTGGTTCACCCCCTCCCGAACCCAACGCACCGTGCGAAAAGGAATAGACCCAAGGGCGGTGTTTCAGTACCCAGTGCTGTCCTGCATCACATTTCGTCCCGGGAATATACGGCTTGAGCGAAGTGTACCCATTGACAAGGATGTCTGTCTTTCTGCAGTAGAAGTGGAATCATGAGTTTGCCTGTTCGATTACCCACCTTCTAGCTCGTTCCTGCTGAGGTCGAGGCGTTCCAAGGCTGTTAGATTCCCCAGCTGTGGCGGGATGTGTCCTGCAAACAAGCCAGTCGACGCATCGCGCTAGTGAAAATCCGGAGGATAAACAGGTTGAGTGCCACCTTACGACTTGTAGATGAAAGAAAAGAGGTATATTCAGTTGCTCGTTTATTCATCCCTGGTATATTTTATATATGCCATGCTGCCGTTGCTGATCTCGTGCTTGAGGTGTCGGGAGCTCTCAGCAAGCTGAAAGAGCTCCAGCTTGGTCGTAACAAAAAAACAACAGGTGGACGTTACAAAACATACATAAGAAGCCCCTGTTTAGTGCCGGTGCCCAGCATAGTGTCGGTGTTGTGTTTTCAGCGGGCACACACTGAATTTCGATGTCATTCTCAATACATGAATAGAGCCGGTCCGACATAGTGCCGGTAATTTTTCTGGACACATACCGGCACTAAACAGGGACTTCTACTGTAAAGAGCTTGTCTCGCCAAAAAACTTATCAGTACTCAAAAGACATCGGACCTGGCCTCGCTTTCGCGGGAAGGATGCTCCAGAAACGAATGTTGTTCCGCCCTTTTGTACCCAAAAAGATGGCAACGCAAAGTTCACCTTTCAACATGTTGGAACGTAGAGTCAGCGACGTCAGCGCTCGTAGGTTGCCTAGTTCCTTGGGTATAGCTCCTGATGTTCAAGCGGCGAAAAAAGGGGGGCAAATCGAGAACCTTGGTACCGCGGACGCGTTGGTGGAACCATGTAGAACTCAGGGAACATCTGGAAGTCCCCAACCCTGTGCGCCGCTGACAATCGCCACACATCATCAGCGGCGCTGTTGCAAACATGGCTGCGATCAGCGACATCTGATGAATTTTTACGAGGAAACGAAGTACATGGAAGAAGAAGCTACAGATGATTCAAAGGGCGATCTAAACACACTCCTGCCGCCGCTTTGTCCTAGTGAGAATTTGAGAGCACCTTTAAGGCTGTTGCTGCTCAGGTCGAGCTGGACCACGAGGCCCTTGGAGTTGACTTTCACGCCTCGCCAAGTTGAGATATTGGCCTCCGTGTTCCAGTTTTGACTTCTGCTCCATGCGGATCCGCCGGTGCTGTGATACAGGAGAGCCAATATCATACGCTCCGCTTGCGCCATTGTAGAGGGGACCTGTCCCAAGAGCAGCGAGGGACACAAGTTGAGGCACAAACCAAATATAGCTTGGAAGGTGAAAACTACATTATAAAAGTGCTCTATTTCTCAACCGACGCTGTTTGCTCGCTGTCTGAGTTCTTTTGACCTATTGCTGAGTGGGCCGGACGAGAACTACATAAGCACACGTTGTCCGCTTGCTTTTCTATTTTTGGTATTATACAATTGTAGTTACAAACCCTTTTCGTGACAAGCTGGACATCAGTCTTTACACTTCGAACTTTTCAATGGCGCACGGGGGATCGCAAGGTCTCCTCAAACCTACAGGAAACGCCTGCGTATCTCACTTTCCAAAGTCAAACTCGAGTACGAAACTACCATCGCAAATGAACCGTCCGCAGCGGTCGCTTGTGTACATTGTTAGTGTCTGAGATTGTAGCCCTTGGGATACACTGCAGACTGGCGGCCCGCGATGTTGCAAACGACCCTTTTATCATCGAGATCGGTGAGCTAGAAGCTGGGTTTTCGACGCTGCTGTGCGGTCCAACTTTGCAACGCTTCAAGCACCTTTGCTTATGGCTCGACCTGCACCTTGTGTACAACGTTAGTGTCTGAGATTGTAGCCCTTGGGATACACTGCAGACTAGCGGTCCGCGATTTTCCAAACGACCCTTCTGTCATCGAGATCGGTGAGCTAGAAGCTGGGATTTTGGAGCTGCTGTGCGGTCTGAATTTGAAAAGCTTTGAACACCTTTGCTTATGGCGAGACCTACATATACATGACCCCAGACATTCAAGTCGACTACGGCGACGAGTGGGACACGTGAGGGAAGAGCTGCGCTGAAGTTCTCGGCCCCAAACACTCACATAGGCGCTGATTCGCCGTTGCTGTGTGAAGGATTTCAAAATCGGACCGCACAGCAGCTTACAAAAATCCAGCTTCTATCTCACCGATCTCGATGATGTAAGGATCGGTTGGAAAATCGCGGACAACTATCTGCAGTGTACCACAAGGGCAACAATCTCAGACACTAACAATGAAATGCGACCGCTGCGGACGGTTCATTTGCGACGGAAGTTCGTACTGGAGGTGGGCTTTGGGAAAGTGAGATATGCAGGCGATTCCTGTCATTTTCATAGGAGACACTGCGATCCCCCGTGCGCCCTCAAGCGCCAGCCGGGGTTGCGCAGGAGCAAGGATAGGCCGAAGTTTTTCTCTGCACCTTTTGGCTCCACCTTCCTCAATACAAGTAGGCTGGTATTTGCCGTGATCTCAAACGGGCTTCGGCCTTTCCCCCGTGAACCAATGTGCGCCAGTTAGACTAGTTGTGTCCACTTACATATACAGACTACACGTGTTTTGTGTGGATTTTTTTCTGTCTCCTCTGTTCCGGCGCCAGCCTACGCCTTCCGGTAGGTATTTGATGCAACAGCAAAGAAGTATAGTAACTGCTGTAGGAGTACAATAGTTCTCCGCCTATCTTTTGGGGTTGGACTGGTCGCCCTTGGCAGGACTCCGTCGGACTCCGTCGAACAAAAAAACAAGACCGTTCCAGTCGCTTGCCCCTTCTCGTTAATTGTGTAGAAGTACTGTCGAGTCGATCGCTTTCCTCCCGCAGAACTGCACATGTGTTCACCCCTGTGAGAGATTCGAACCCAGCCTCTGGCAGGTCTACAACGAGGCTACGAGGTGGTCCCTACTGCTGCTGTAGACAAGGTCGGATATGTATCATGCCCGGTACGCACTTTCGCAGTCGGGTTCCAGACAAGGGCACTCCGTACTGCCGGTTGAATATTGCCGACGCCCGGCGTAGTGCCGGTGTTTTGGGCGGGCACAGACTGAATCACCAAGTCATTCAGTCCTTTGAATCGTACTGGTCCCTCTGAATAGCCGGTAAGGTGGTCTGATCCATGCTGGCACTACTGAGGGCCCCCCACTGCTGTAATCTGCCCACAGCAGTCTGATACCTGGACCTAGACAAAGCTGCTGAGTCTACAACTGAAACCGTCAAACCGTGACATTGGTGGCAACATAGACATCCTACAGAATGGGGATATGGCGGTGCGGGATGTGCATCGCCTCGGGAACCAAAAAACATCTCCAGGTGTTACAAGGCCAAGCACATCTGCTGCTACTGCTGTGTTCATTTCAGTTCATTTCGGGAAGAACTGCAACATATTTGAATATATGAATATATGTGGTGGAATCTGCAGTGAGCGTGTATCACCTCCTGTAGTGTTGCAGAGGAACAGGGGCCTTCGAAACGCTGTTGTTCGTTGTGGGCGGGGTGAAGCCAAGCCCTGTAGGGTGAGAGTACACTGCGGTGATGCGCACCCAAGCAAGACACGTGGCCTTTGCTGCTCTGTCTTGCACCCTCGCACCTCGCGCCCCGCTGTGTCCGCTGTTCAAGCTTTTCGAAAATGGAAAAAGGAATGTGGGAATGTGGGGGCAATTGGCGGAGAGGAACCGGGGACCAGAGCTATGTTGTTGTTGTTGTTTGTCTTCACATTAAACCGTATGTCAGTTGCTAAATGCCAAAATCTAGCAAAAGACTCTCAGCCCGTGGTCACGAAAGTGCTAGAGCCATCTGAGGATCTAAAGAACACGCACACATCTGACGAGAAAAAGGTATGCAAGAGCCCGAAGAGGTACACCTAAAAATCCCTGCAGCACCGTATGCGTGCCCAAAAACTGAACTGCACGTCCGTCCCACCGTTCGACTACAGTAGCATCACCCCCTCCCTGTCCCACTCTATACCAAAACGGAAGATTGCCGACTACAGCATAATGCTGTCTGAAGTGCTGTCTGTACAAAAACACCATGGTAGGCATGGAACAAGCAGCTGGCGGGGCACAAAGCTGCTGTCTGAAGTGCTGTCAGAATGTGTCTGCGGCCGTACAGTGAAAAAGAACAACCAACCAAAGCCATCATAGCAGCAATTGACAATCACCCGAATCTCTCCCGATCGTCTGTGTTAGGCACTGCAGTGAAAAATATCGACACTAGCTAAGAATCGTTCCACATTGAAGGGGTCTTCCACGATCAGGCACAAAACCAATGCACCCGGGTTAGCCACGCCATCTCTGACGGGTCTCTCTACAAAACCGGTGACGATGTCATCACACAAAACCAACACGGAAAGTCAGAAAAAAAACGAAAAAAATTGACAACACAGATAGAAATGTTTGTCCGTGCGCCACGGGTCGATGTCGCCCGCATGCTCCGGTGCCATTGCTCCATCCGGCGCCGCTGTAGTCAGCCCGAGCAAAACGCCACTCGACCTGCTCCGTCCGTACACGCTCTCGTCGCTGTCCTTCCCAGTCCGTTCCTCGCTTTCTCCCTCATTGCACTCAAGGTTCTTGGTCTGAAAAAAATAAAAATTCTCGCGCCGAATGGTCAACCAGCCTAGTTCAGCTCGTCGCCACCTGCTCCCTCCTCCTTTGATGGCGAAGCCAGGTTACTGAGGCAATACAGCTCCCTCTAGCAAACCTAGGGCCGTGTAGTGCCCGTCCACCTTTCTGATGATGTCTGCCTCCGCGCACAAAAATGAGATGGGCATCACTGCCAACGCCGACGGCCAGAAAGGCCCGCGCATCTACATTTTCCCGCCTGACCCCATCAGTGCCGACCCAACTCCACCACCACACGCACGCCAACCCCTGAAACCGTCAGCGCCAACTATATACCAATATAGTATATGACTACAACAACCACCAAGTTGGTTGTTTTAGTCATAGACTATACCATAGGCGCCAAACAAGAAGTAATTTGCACATTTGTGTGGGAGGGCGCAGCAACACGTCAAGGTAGAAGAGTTGCGGATATCACTCTCGTTCGCCACACTTGTTTGTTTGCGCTGCCATCAAACTGCTCTATATACACATGCACGACAGAGAGTGCTGCAACAACATCGTTCGGTAGTGATGAGCTCACACCACAGATGATGGATAAAATAGTACATTGGTTTTTCGGATCATACGTCTATTATTCGATCCTTCTGTGGCAGACCAACATCTGGTAAATGGGCACCGTGATGATAATACACAGACAGTGACCCGCTTCTGGTGTGTGAACTTCGTCTTCCTCTCGCTGCACCACTCTCATACCATACAAGATGAGCACATGAGCACAACACGGGCACGATCCTCATTTCCTCGTGTCCCCGGCCGTGCGTCCGTCCACAAACGCTACTTGAGACGAAAACGCAACTCCCGACGAGCGACCAGAATGTCTTCTGCGGGCCCCCCTCCGGCGCTGTCACCTGTCACCTGCTCTCTGCCTGTTGCAGCACAACGGCGTGTGCGGCTCACTCGCTTGCTGCTTGTTTGTGCACGGCGTGGAAAATGAGCGACTTCCAACCTTTCGCGCTGTCGGCTGAGATGCTGGGCCACGAGGGTCCGGTGAGTCTACTCGAGGCTGAATTCAACTTATGGTTGCGCGATAGCGACGAGGCAACGCGCAACAATAACACTCGCGACTACATGCTCCTTCCGTGTTCGATAGATGTTTAGTCTATGTTTGTATCGTAGCTCTCTTTCTCTCTCTCTCTCGCAGAGTGACTCCGCTCTGAGCGCTGCAGCAGTGAACACAGGCCTTAGTTGGGCTGTTACTGCATCCTTTGGATGTTTGGTGTGCAAGACCTTTTTCGCAGAGGCGGCGTGAGGAGTTGCTGTTGACAGGGGCGGAGCACAGACGGACCCATTGTTTTCTGGTAGTTTTTGTGTCCTGTTCCTGTTCTTCGTACAGCATGAGAGCCTTCGTACAGCAGTAGATCCTACGCGGACAGTTTGGGCTGGGGCTTCCTGGTGTGGCGCAATGGCCGCCGTGCCCTGCTTGTCAGTGGGTGCGCTTGTCAAGAACGAAATGCTCGTTTCTTGTCTGTCGCTCCCGTGTATTGTTCATTCATCGTTGCAGGGCTGCCTCAACTCGATTACCCCACGAACAATCTGCGGATGGATCCAAAGATCCAAAGCAGAGCCCCGACCTCTCTCTCGTGCAAAGCATTAGGCTACTTGGCAAGCCCTTTCCAAAGCTAAATAACACGTTTCGATACACGACCAATCTCCGATCCCTTGTTGAGAAATTGAGCGCAGGGGGTTGTTGTTGTTGTTGTTGTTTTTCTTCACATTAACTCGTGTCAGTTGCTAATCCCAAAATCTAGCAAAGACTCGGTCCGTGGTCTCAAAAATGCTGGAGCCATCAGCAGATCTGAAGAACACACACACTATTAGCAAGGAAAGGGCACGCAAGCCCGAGGAGGTACACCTGCAATCCCTGCAGCACGTTTGCTTGCTCACAACTGAACTACACGCCCACACACTACAAATCGACTACAGCAGCAGCATCACCCCCCTTGTCCCGCATTTAACCAAAATGAATGTTTGTCGACTAGCGTACTGCTGGCTGAAGTGCTGTCTGTACAATAAGAACACCATGGTGCATGGTACACAAGCTCGGGGCATGGAGCTGCTGTCTGAAGTGCTGTCAGAATGTGTCTGTGGACATACAATGAAGAAGAACGCCCAACCAAAGCCATCATTGCAATTGACAATCACCCGAATCTATCCAGATCATCTGTGGTAGGCACAGCAGTGTAAACATCGACACTGACTAGGAATCGTTCCACATTGAAGGGGTCTTCCACGATGAAGGTACACAATTAAGGCACCCGGGTTATCCGCACCATCTCTGCCTCGTCTCTCTACAAAACCAGTGACGTCATCACACACACCCAACACCTGTATTCAGGAAAAAAACGGAAAAATAATTGACAATACAAGAACTGTTTCTCCGTGCGCCACGGTTCGATGCCGTCCGCCTGCTCCGGTTCCGCTGCTCCGGTGCCGCTGCTCCGGTGCCGCTGTGGCCAGTCCTAGCACGACCAA